TAATTTGTATACTTAACTGATATATATATATATATATATATATATCAAAATAAATATCATTTTTGTGTATGTGTATTATCCAAATATTGCATTGCCCACTTAGATTTCTCTCGTTCCAATAGGATCTCTTGAACTAAGCCCAAAATAATGGGCTAGATTTCAATGGTTTGACTTTGGGATACATGAATCGTTTGAGGATCGTTATTTAAATTATATTCGAAGTCTATAAATTTTAATAAGTTTATTCGCTTTAAAATTAACTTTAGAATTATCAAACTGTAATTGAAAAAACTTACATCTAGAATTACAAATTTCATACATATATATATTTGATGTTAGGCTTGTAAAACATATTTCAAACAAAATATCATAGTAGTAACAAACTTTATACATATGTTACTTAAAAGTTTACCCAAATTAAAATTTCATATATTTATGTTTGAACTTCATAATACATACGAGTCTGAAAACATATGTGATTGAAGTTGAAGGTGGAGGAGGAGCATCAACCTCTTTTGGCCGAAGATTTTTAATATCGACTATAACTTAATAATTTTAAAAGATAGGATAAGATGTTCGAATTGTAACTCTTCGAGTTTAGTTTTCGAATCATTTGTCATTTGGATATCTTTACAATACATTACAAATAAGTCTTTTTATCGGAGGCTAGCGATAAAGCCTTTTCATAGTAGAATTTTTATCACTTTGAATTACTTCATCCTATAACTATTCATTTACTCTCCTCCAAAAAGTGTTAGATCTTTATTTTGTATCTTAACAAAAGCGACTCGAGAAGTTTTGAAATAGTGAAGAAATCATGATTTTATTATATATATCTATCAAATTTCATTCAAAAGTGAAAAAGGTATTATTTTTCGATTATTAAAAAATAACTTTCGTAAATTACTTAATCCAGAATAAATTGAATTTTTTTTATAACTAGAGGAATCTAGAAGTAAGATGCTTTATTGTTTGGGTTTGTCCTCACATATTGAAAATGAAATTTTATTTTTGTTTTTATAGGACCACCCCTTAATTAAATATGACAAAATCATTTATTTGCTTACATAATACCACCTCCTAATTAAAAAACAACAAAATTCATTTGCTTGTATATATTACCAGTGTTAATGTTTTTAATTTTCTTTAAATATATAAATATATATATAGCCATTATTTATTTTATATTTAATATTTTTAATTATTTTTTGAGTATTGATTGCATTGGTCCCAATTTGAAGACAAAAGAAAAAAGGGAAACAAGACAAGTAAAGAGACCAAAGCAAATCTGATTTTTTCTCGCACCGACTTAATCTAGATCGTGCAATGCAAGATCCATTAGGAGGTGAAACCTTCAACAAAATTTTTCTATATTCAGAACTCGAAATCGAAATTCTTAATTAATGATGAAACACTTTTACATGTGCACCACTTTAAATTTAATCATTTTGGTTGGGATTTTTTCTACATCTATAAAGAGTTTATAAACATATTTTGGAAGATAACTTTTTAACTTTTTTCGAGAAGTCGATGTGATTTTTTCTCTTCATTCTTTATTCTTTATGCGTTCATGGACCATGTTTATGTGGAGTTAAACTTCTTATTCTAGAGTTGTAGTTCTTTCACTAATGTTGCTATTTGAATATTATTTTCAATTAATTAGTTTATCGCATTATTTGTTTGTCCAATACTAATTTTTAATTAAGAATCTGATCTTTCTTGATTAAATCTTTATTAATTAGTTGTTGTTTTTTCTTTTAGTTAGTTAATAATTAAAATTTTGGATTTTATTTGGGCTTGATATCTGACTGGCCTTGACCTCATATATAGTACTATACAAATTATAAACAACAAAATAATTTGTGTGCTTACATAGTATTATCTCTTGAGAAATTAAAAACAGAAAAATCATTTGTTTGTATGTATTATCATTATCATTTTACTCTTTAAAATATGTATATATATATTAATTATTATTATGTACTATATATATTTTAGTGCTTTGTATTATCTTTTGAATATTCATTATATTACGTATGCTTAGTGTCATACTTTTTTTTTTCCACCCGGTATTCAGAGCCTATTATTGGAGTTTCAACTAAATTCGGATTGCGCTCTGCACAACTCTTTTGGGGTGACGCTTCCAACATGATTTTCTTTCTATCTAGGACTCGAATCCAAAACCTTGAATTAAGGGCGAAACACTCTCAACCAGTGCACCACAATCATATTAATCATATTTTTTTTATTTATAATATAATTATAAAATGATATGAAGATAAAGAGAGATTTTGGTCCCGTTATATTTTTAATATATAATTAAAAAAACAATTCTAAGATAAAGAGAGATTTTGGTCCCCCATTTGAAGACAAAGGAAAAAGACAAGAGGACAGTTGAAGAGAGCGTTTTATTTCAAATTTAGTCGAGCTCTAATAAAAATATCGTACATCAGATATAAAACTAAATTAAATAAATATATAATATTCTATTCGTCAATGAAATCTCCTTTGTTTGTTATTTATAGAAGACCATTATCTATGTACAAAATAAATCAAACACACACCAAAATTATCCAAGAAAAATAATGGAAATTTTGATTTCAAATTGGTCAAATGTTGAATTTGTACCTAAAAAGTATATTTTCCCACTAGATAGAAGACCAGGAAAAATTAAATTTCCTGTTTGCCATGATATACCACTCATAGATTTGGCTAATAATCATCCAAATGATGCAATTCAACAAGTTATTAAAGCATGTCAAGAATTTGGAATATTTCAGGTACAATTAATAGTTAAGAATTTTTTTTTCCATCCCACAGTGACGTATGCAGAATTTTTTTTTAAAAATTAACGTGTCAATAGTTTTTCAAATTTAGAGTTTTAAGATCGCTATGATAATCTCATTTCAGAAATGAACTTTTTTTCTCGAGATTGAACTATGAAAAAACACGTTTTGTTTTGTTGCTCCGTGTGACTCTTATATTAGTACTATATAAGTAGAGTAGTAGTATAGTATATATTCAATACTTTTACTTTGCTAATTATCTACATTATAGGACATATAATGACATATTTAGTATAGTTCTACACATGTAAGGTATACATCACAAATTTATATCTATCTTTATGTGGTATTAGAGAGTTTATTTTTGATATATCATTGACTCAAGAAATTTATTTGTCATATATACATATTTCGTAAGTATCTAACGAAACAATATTCCGTTACACCCTCAGATATTTCATGATATCTGAAGTTTCTAATTAAAGATGAATGAATATTTATATTATGTTTTTCGTTTTTACTTATTATGATGATCAGGTGATAAATCATGGAGTATGTGAAAATCTAATGGATGATACAATGAATATATACAAGGAATTCTTCAAATTGCCTAGTGAATACAAGGCAAAATTTTACTCAAATGATATAAACAAAAGCTGCAGGTTATGTTCAAGTACATTAGCATATGATACTGAAGAATTTCACTATTGGAGAGATAATTTTACTCATCATTGCTATCCTTTAGAGGAATACATTATGACTTGGCCCAATAAGCCCACCAAGTATAGGTAATATACATTCGTTTCAGTTTACGTGATACATTTTTCACGTTTTTAAAAGAACAACACACTTGTAAATTTTAAAACGATTAACTTTACAATTTCATTTAATCCTTAACGAAAAACTTTTATAATCATACAAATGTCATTGACATATTTCAAAAAGCCAACTGAAATGTTATGACACGTTGTCAGTTTCATTTTTCAAATTAGCCAACTTTTAGATGAGCTGAATTGAACAGGTCAAAATGAGTTTGAGTTAACATATAATTAAATACGCAGGTCAATAATTCGTTCAATCTTGATCCATGCACAATAAATAATTCGTTCAATCTTGATCCATGCACAATAATATTTACGTGTCTTCATCCAATAAAACTAAGACACGTAAATTCAAACAGTAATCATCTTGTTTGTTTTCTTTTTTGTAGAGAAGTGGTAAGTGAGTATTCAATAGAAACAAGGAAGCTACTATACAAGATTTTGGATATGATATGCAAAGGATTAGGACTAGAGAAAGGTTATTTTGAAGGTGAATTAAGTAAAACAAATGTGATATCTGTGAATCATCATATTCCATGTCCAAATCCAAGTTTAACACTAGGAATGCCAGTACATTCTGATCCAAATCTCATAACATTGCTTCAACAATGTAATGTTCCTGGACTTCAAATACTTAAAGATGGCAAATGGATTGGTGTTCAACCTATTCCTCATGCTATAGTTGTTATTCCTGGTCTACAATTGAAGGTAATTTTTAGTGCTACTTGTATAATACTAAAAATCACTATTTTCCCATCGAGAAATGTTCAATGGCTATTTTCAGAGATATTCTATCATTGAATAGTTAGGAGAAAAAAAAATAGACCAATGATTTCATATGAAAAAAATTAGGAAGCTTCCCTCCACAGATTTTTTAAGTTAGTTGGCTCAATGGGAAATGAATGAAAAAAAAAAAATCATGTTTTATAACACAGATTTTCGATATATTTGTTGTGGAAAAAAACTTTATTTCTAGTGATAATTTGATATTTTAGGAGGTCCATTACATTTGTCAATTATCAAATATTAGAGGATTAAAGTAGTGGTTGATAAGAGAAAAATTGTTTCCAACAAAATAAGTGATTTTTTTCTCATGTTTGATACGTACACAAAAAATATTATGATCAGAAGTGAATTTATATATAATTTGGACAAATACTATAAAGGTAGAGGTATGAATAGGGGTGGAGGGTATAAGAAGTGGGGGATCAATTTTCCTCATAACATATGGTGATTCTTTGCAGGTAATAAGCAATGACAGGTTCATAACTCGAGTTCATCGTGTGGTGACACACGCAAAAGAGGCTCGAACCACAATTGGTGTATTTCTCGGTCCGTCACCCAAGTCTTTAATAAAACCAGCCATTGATTTGGTTTACACTAAATCGGAGTTTAGAACCTTTACTTATCCAGAGTTCCTCGAAGCATTTACTGCTGGGGCTAAATGTGATGCCGAATTTGCCCTCAACCATTTTAGAAACAAAACTTAGCTTTTAGTTATCTTAATGGAAAATTGTTGTAAAAAAATAATATGGTGGGTGGTACTATATCTATGGTCACATAATTAGAAAAATTGTCCCAAAAAAAATTTATGTATAGTTTTTTTTTTACCTTATGTTATAGCCTTGTTAATTGTTGCAAAATTGTATCTATAGTCTTGGCTCATGTAAAACCTTGTGATGTACTATATAATATAACACTTTGGTTGTGTTTGATTGGAGTAATTTTTTCATGTTCGATTAATAAAAAAAAATTAAAAATTTGTCCATTTTAGTTGAATTATGGTTGGCGTTTAAAACATGAGCAGATTCAGCATATTGTGTACAGATTCTCGAGAATTCAGTAATTTTTGTTTAAACTTCTTATACATATTGAAATATTATAAATATTTGACTGTAAATTTACTGTTGTATCATATTTATTAGAATTCTAAATTTTAAATCATGAATCTGACTCGAATTTGAAGAAATTATGTGAAAACTATACATAGACTTCACATGTGCTATATATAAGTTGTACTCACATTTTCCATAACAAAACAAGGTGTACTTAACATGGAAAAAGAAGAATCAAAGATGAAAAAATATACACTATATTTATAATGTGTATATTTTATAAAACAGATGTCTCACTACTAAAAAAAAACTCTATTTTCAACTGAAAAATATTAAGTGACTATTTTCATAGAATTTTTGAATAAATCGATAAGAAAAGAAAAAATAATTTTGTTTTCATATTGGAAATTTTGGAAGCTTCTAGTAGTGTCTCAAGGGTACTTGATTGTATTTTTTTTCTAATTTCAAATCAAGAAAAAAAATACTAACTTATACGATTAAGAATGGAGTGATCTTATTTATCTATCAATACAATTTTATTTAGTCATATTTATTCAAACTTTTTGTAAATTTCATTGTAGGATTTCAAGGAATGCCTAGAGTATATACAAAATTTTATGTTAAAGCATGGACCTTTTGATGGTGTTCTTGGTTTCTCACAAGTAATTATATTTTGTTAATTACCATTCTCATGGGAAAATAATCTGTTATGATTTCAATAGGAGAAAATGATTTTACAATGAAATTATTTTATTTCCTGGATAATAACATTTTTAATTCCTTATTATTACTAAATTGTTATAATATCTGACTAAATATATTTAAATTTTTTGTTTGTTTGATGGATACAGGGAGTTGTTTTATGTGCAACATTCCCAGGTATGCAAAGGGAAGGATTGGCCCTAACAAAAGTTCCAAAGATAAACTCATCAGTTCTACGTGACAAAATATACGTAAGACATCACGTAGGACAAAAAATGTCATGTAGGATATGTGTGTCGATTTGTTCAATTTTATACAAGTTTAAGTATCTACTTATGCACATCCAAAGTTGAAGGACATAAATATAATTTGAAACCAAGTTAAAGAACATATTTATATATTATGCTTTTATTAAATTTAGGGGTAGTTTTACTTTTAGGTTAGGGAGACAGTATGCTCTTTATCATTTCATTTAGATATTGATGGTTGAGAACTTTTTTTAGGAGGGTTCGAAAAATAAAGATATCGTGTCTAGGATTTAAATTTGGAGCCTCAATGTAAATTTTAAACTTCTAAATCATTAAGAAAATTTATAGTCTTCTATGTACGATATAATTTTTTGCTGAGGAAGCTCGGGTGGATCCCCCTCATGTGCCTTTAGATCTTTCCCTACATTCACAAACTTAATATTTGAGACCTTTGACTTAAAATGAAATAGTATTTATTGTCTACGTACCATAAATCTTTGGAAGTACTATGTTTATATTTTCATTTCGTTAGAACACAACTTATATATTAATAGACATGAAAAAGAAGTTTATAATTTTTCTATTAGTTTTTTTATCATTAGCTGTTTCTATTAGTCTCAAATATTTTTATATTATTGAGACTTTTTTCTTTGTTGTTTAAGGGCATATTGTGATGGAATTGTTCTAAACACTATAGTTAATTATGTATAAGTAATATACATGTTTGAACGTTAAAAGTTGAGAATGTTTTAATACATAAATGATTTATTTATCCTATAATAAGTTATTGATATGTGTAGACATCAAAATTTTGTAATTTTTTTTATTTCAGTTAGAGTTCTTGAAAATTATTTTATCTTAATATACTGACTCACACGTCAATATAAAAATAACCAATTTCAAAATATTCTTAACCTCCTGCTTTTTTTCTTAAAGAAAGAACTGTTATTTTGGCTGAATTGTGGAGATTAATCGTTTTTGTATATTATATTGTGGGGTAAATACCAAGCCCACAATTAAACACTATGGTTAATTTATTAATCTGAATAACAGATGCCATGTGACAATTTGGTCATATATGTCCATAAATTTTTAATTTTAAATTTAAAAATATAAGTGGACGTTTGATTATGCATATTTTAGTGTGAAAATTGAAAAAAAAAAGTAGTATTATTTTTGCATTGAAAAATAATAGTATTTGAATATTAGAGTTGTGATCGGCCACATATATACAAATTGTAATAGTTTTTTATTTTCTACGACTAACTCAAAGCGATAACACTTTTTCATTTTTATTTTTTTAAAATAATTGAAAATTTTGTATAACTCTAGAGTAAAGGAAAAAGTTTCATGATCAAACGAATTTTGAATTATGAGTTACTATATAATTTGATACTATATTCGGATATCTATTATACTTTCTCCGTCTAATAATATATGTCATTTTTTTATATAAATAATTGATTCATAATATTTGTCGTTTCATAAAATTAATAAATTATTATATTTTTTCTTTTTTGTTTAATCATTGTGAGTTATTAGCCTTGAAAATATATAACATTTGACCAACTTAGAAAACCTAAGTAAATAATACATATTCAATGATTGAAAATTTGAGTTTCAAAAAAAATTTAATAAGGCTATAAGGATAAAGTTACATCATTTCTTAACGTAACTGTAAAGTAAAACATGTGATATATAAAATGAGACGATAGGAGTACTTTACTAAATTTTAATAGATAGCTTTTTAAAAAATCTTAGCCATATATGCTTCACCTACCATTTTATCAGAAGAAATTAAAAAAAAAATACTATGGAAAAAGAATCAAACAAAAAACCAAGAATTTTATGTCTCCATGGCTATAGAGAAAGTGCTAAAATACTCAAGAAATTGATTTTCCGGTGGCCGGAATCCGTCACCGGAAAATTAGATTTGATTTTCTTGGATGCACCTTTTCCGGCGAAGGGCAAATCTCGACTTGAAGGTTACTTTGATCCTCCTTATTTTGAATGGTTTCAATTTAATAAGGTATTTATATTTGCTTCATTTAATTTCAAAGATTCGATTTATTCGAAGAAAAACACTCCTTGACATGATATTTTTTTGTTACGAGGACTTATATGAGATATTTAATTAAGAATCGATAAAGTGGTCTTATTTATTTGATCGTACTATTTTATTGTTCATTTCATTCTTGATTATTCAATACTATGTATAAAATCATATTTGTTCAATATTTTTTCGTGAGTGTCAAACTGACCAATGTAGAATAAATCATGATCCAAATTTTGGTGAATTTGACACAAAAGGCGGAGCCATCAGGAGTTCATTCGAATCTTCTTTTACGGAAAAGTATATTATTTTTATATAGTTAAAATACTTTTTAGGTATATATAGTAGATGTTGAACCTCTTTTAGCTATTTCATGTGTCTATATTTTTTTTATATTTTTATTGGAATAGTCATTTTATTGTTCAATCTTATCTAGTGGTTGATATTTGTATCATAATTTGAATTTGTGTTGAAAATTTTACATTAAAATGTAAAAGCATACTAATAAAGATTACACCGTATCGAACGAGATTTAAATTCAAAACTCTTAATTAAAGACGAATAAGTACTTATCATACTATCAAAATTATTGTTGATACTCAAATAACTTGTTTTTTTTTCTTTTCATTTTATTTCTAGAAAAAATATTTTTTTTCTATAAATTGTTTACATTCTTGTAGGATTTCACAGAGTTTTACAATTTTGAAGAATGCCTTGAATATATAGAAGAGTTTATGTCAAAGCATGGACCTTTTGATGGTATTCTTGGTTTCTCAATGGTAAATAAATACTATTTTCTTTTCTCTCGCGATAATAAGAAAATAATCTGTTATGATCAATTATAATTATAATAAAAGAAAATTACTCTATAAAAAGTAATTTTTTTATTTTATTTTTGTTGGAAATAGGCAGCTGTTTTATGTGCAGCAATACCAGGCATGCAAAGGGAAGGTGTGGCTCTAACAAAAGTTCCAAAAATAAAATTTGTGATATTAATATCAGGGGCTAAATTTGGAGGACCTTCATTTGGGGTACCAAAATTGGCTGTCAATGCATTTTCATATCCAATTAGTTGTCCATCACTTCATTTCTTAGGTACTTTCATAATATCTTTCACTTTTAAATTAATTTTTTAAAAAAATATGTAAACGAGAGAAGCTGTTGTGAATGAATTTGGTTCTAAGAATAATAGTGCGTGACTTAAGACAACGAGGGATGACATGATATGAGTTTTTTGTACGCGCGACCTGAAATATACTCTCAATATTTCTAATTACTTGTCCAGTTTTGAACTGAGACACCTGTTAAGATAATAATGATTGACATAGTGAGTTTACTATTTTACCCTATTTAATTACGAAGTAAATGAATTAAAAATTTAAGATTTTCAAGAAGTTCTGCCTTTTTTAAAAGTAATTAATAAGTAAAAAAATTGTCATTCTTTGATTTGTCAAATTGAGCAAGTAATTATGAACAAGGATAGTTCTGATCATTTTCTTTTTCTTTCTTTATATAATTATGTTTTAAATTTATTTCAAGCTTTCTACTATTTATTGAACATTTCAATTATTCAATTTAATTGGTGTTAATTTTTTCTTTTTTCATTATTAAGGAGAAAAGGATTACCAAAAAAAAGATGGAGAAGTTCTATTAGAGTGTTTTGTGGATCCACAAGTAATTCACCATCCTAAAGGACATGCCATACCAGAACTAGGTGAGTAATTTTGTTTTGAAATTTTATGGTATACTTCTTGGTTTATAATGTGAATTTAATTCTTACTCAAATCAATATTTACAAAATTTAAGAAAAGATCAAGTAAAACATCATTTTTTGAAATAACCCCACTAGTTTGGTGCAGAGGCGGAGTCAGAATTTTCGATAAAGAGATTTAAGACACACAAAATAGCTGAAAAGGGTTCGACATCTACTATATATACCTAAAAAATTATTTTAACAATATAACAATAAAATAAGATTCTGTAGAAGGGAGAACCCCTAAAATTATGGGGTATGATTAGAGTTCTAATTACATGTTTAACAAGGGTAGGAATAGAGTTTTGGTTACACGTTTTGGCATAATCTAGTAACTTAGAACTAAATTTTATATTTTTTGTTAATTTTTTTTACTTAAAATAAGTAAATAATTTATTCAAACCATAATTAATTATTTAAAAAAAAATTCGAACCTAATAGCTCAAAACATTGAATACGTATAGTTAACTAAAGTCCTGGTCATTGACTTTTAACATGATTTTTTCTATTATCATAAAGTCGAAAAATGTAGTTCAAAGTTAAGGAATTTGAGTTTTCATATAATTTCATAGAAAAAAAAGTTGGAAAATTTATAAACGAAAATTATTATCTCACTTAAGATAACATCTTAATTAGTATTCATATATGTATTAATTATAATTCATACGTCTTAACTTTAATAAAAATAAATAAAGTTTTAATTATATCCTTATTTTTTTTTTTGCAGATGACAGTAGTGCTGAAATAATACTTGGGTTTATCGAAAAGACATTTCAAAACTTAGGAACAAGGGCACATCAATATAATCGGAAGCCCATGGCGAAATTTTAGTTAGAGGCTAAATAAGATATAAATTTTTATATATTTTATTTTTAATTTAATTTTTTATAATTATAATATTTAGATTAGTTTAAATGTACTATAATTAATTTTACAAGATATTTATAGCATTGATGGCAAGCAACACGATTTTGATTTTTGCGATCGCGGGCCCTTGGCCATGTTGGAAAATAACTTATTTTTCGTTGCTTATGATGAGATTTAAACACGAAATATTACGATACTCAACCCATTTTATTGATCACTAGATCATATTCTCATAATTTATTTATCAAAATTAAAATAAAACCAGAATAAATCACTTTTTTTTCCTATATCTTAAAATCTAAACCTAAAATCTTATGATTTTCAACCGTTCATTAATCATTAGATGGCACCAATAAATTTGTCCCCTTTAAATATCAACGCACTCATATCCTAAGACTAATAATTAATTCATTTGTACATTTTTGAAAAGAAAAAGAAAAGTATACAACCAACAAAATTATTTAATGGTCAATTATGGCTGAATCATGGAGACAACGTGACAATTTTTTAACCATAAATAAATTCATATATATATATATATATGGGGCCTAGTGGGTCTAATAATTTTGCATAAGAAATTAATTCCATGGAAAAAAAATTAAGAATTTTGTGTCTTCATGGCTTTAGAGGAAGTGGTGAAATACTCAAGAAATTGATTTTCCGGTGGCCGGAATCCGTCATCGGAAAATTAGATTTGGTGTTTTTGGATGCACCTTTTCCGGCTCAGGGGAAATCTCCACTTGAAGGTTTTTTTGATCCTCCTTACTATGAATGGTTTCAAGCAAATAAGGTAATTTACTCTTTCTTAGATCAACATTTTTTTTAAAAAAAAATTGGTTTTATTTTTAGGGTGTATTTGGTTCGAAGGAAAATATTTTACGAAAATATTTTTCAATTTTATCATATTTGGTTGAGTTAAATGTTTTGAAAAAATACTTTCGAAATCAACTCATTTTTTTTCTCAATATAAGGAAACGGACTATTCTTAGAAACTTAAAAGAAAAACATTTCTAAAACTCTTTCAACTTCAAATTACATTTTTTTTAGTTAAAAAAATTAATTTATTTTTTATTTTTACCCCCACCCCGTACCCTCACCCCCATCAACCTCCAACCAGCCCCCCACCCCTCTCTCTTAAAAAAAAATTAAGTTTATTTTAAAAAATACTTTTAACTTTGAATTTGTTATAAATCCATTGAATTGTGTGGATTGTCCTTTAGATTTACTCAAGACTTAATTGTATTCATGTATACATTTCCCAAGGTAATAAGAATCATTTGGATAACTATGTACCTACTAATTGGACATTTATCATGGGGGCTTTTGGGGTGATATCTCAACTCTATAAATAGAGATATCATTCACCTTTTGTAATACATACTTGAATAAGAAAATTATCTCCTCTATCTTATACTTCTTGTCTTTTTCATCTTATATTCTGAGCTTTCTTTACAACACATTATCAGCACGAAGTTGCTACTTGCAAAG